CAAGGAGGGCAGGACAGAGGGAAGGAGAGGAGGACAGAGGGAAGGAGGGGAGGACAGAGGGAAGGAGAGGAGGACAGAGGGAAGGAGGGGAGGAAACAAGGGAAGGAGGGGAGGACAGAGGGAAGGAGAGGAGGACAGAGGGAAGGAGAGGAGGACAGAGGGAAGGAGGGGAGGACAGAGGGAAGGAGAGGAGGACAGAGGGAAGGAGGGGAGGACAGAGGGAGGCAGGGGAAGGAGGGGGTGTTTCCCTGCAGGCGGAGATGTTTGTGTGTGAACTCATCTCCTCCCTCCCTCTCAGCCACTCAGTCAGTGGCAGCAACACACTCGTCGAGGTCGGCAGCACAAAGCAGAGTCGCTTCTGAGCAGCGGCCACACACACACACATACTCACACACACACACACACGCTCACAACTCACAACAGCACACACACCACGCAGACCCTCGGCACACACCTCCTCAGCGACGCCTGAAGCAAAACAGACAAGAGGACGGAAGGAGAGAAGACGTAGTTTTTTAAGAAAAGGAGCTCGTTTGGAGAAAGCATCAGTCAGGTAGGACTTCCTTCATTTTCACTCTGCTCGCCTTTTTCTTTCCGCTGAAGCTGAAACACCAGCATCGGCTGGTGAAAGTCCACATTTAGGAAAAGTGCATCTTGTGCAAAATGAGCATAAAGTTCATGCAGAGCAAAGGGGAGCCAGAGTTATGACCTGTGCTTGCTCCTCCAGCCAGGTCATCCAGTCCAGAGTTCAGAGCTTGTTTATGTCGTCTGTAGATGTGATGTGGTGCAGCGGAGATGTGGAAGGAAGTTGTGGTTCTGTGGAGCTGCAGGTGCTGAACTTTTGTGCAAAGCAAACAGAAGCATCGAGAGTCGGAGGGGAAAGTGAAAGCCGTGTAGACGATGTGCACGATGAAGCTGAGCAGGGTGGAAACAGATCAGAGACAACGTGAGTTATGAGGGAGAGCAGAGAGAAAATGCTTCAGGAGGAAGTTCACATCCAAAGAAAGAGCTCCTGAGTACGTCAAAGGCTGCTTCCTTCAGCTTCATCAGACAGCGGCTGGTGTTGATGACTCTACCTGCTGAGGGTTTGGGCTGACCCCGTCCCCGCTGGTTCACTGTTCAGCCTCTGGAGCTCAAAACCTGCTCGTAGCTTTGTTATGCACGTTACCTTTAAAAAAACACTTCAATGTATCACTCACCAGGACCAGAACCTGCACCAACAGTCACTGGACAGCCGCTGAACTATGAATCTGCGATGTGATGATGTCATTTTAAACTAAAGGTGTCTTTAATCAGAGTTTGTTAAAACCAGAAAATTCTGCACTGGTCACCACAACCAGGTCCAGGTCCTCAGAGGCTGAGCTGCTCCAGCAGCCACACCAGGAAGCTCAGGGACTGTTCCCACAACGGTAGCAAAACCAAATGTCTAACGTCTGTAAAGTCACCTTTTCCAGTTCTGCTAACACCTAAGCTTCTTTATTCCACATTCCTCCCCCAATTTTTGTTAAATAAAGACATTCAGTTTCACTTGATCTTTCCCATTTTAACTGCCCTCATGACACTGTCGAGTCCTCCTAGTCCTGGCTGACCTGCTTCCACAGAGCTGCAGGACTTCATGCTACAGGGAAACATTCAGCCAGTCCAATGTGACCGCAGCAAAGAAACCAGAAACAAGCCGCTTGAGCTTCACAGATAGAAACACGGCAAACATTAAACTGTTCAGTCTGCATTCATGATCATTTAGGCATTCATTCCACTGGTTTACTGACACTGAACAAGCAAACCTCATGGTTCCCAGTCAGTTTACTGCTCAGGAGCAGCTGGTGAGGAGATGAGGCTGATGGACGGGTCAACAGAACATCAGACCTTCACTCTGCTTCTTTACCTCTGACATGACAACGTGCTCACATTAACCAGGCGGTCGCTATCGGAGCTACGAGAAGCTACGATCAACAAACAGCAGCTTTAACCCACATTTCACTGCTTCTGCCTTTTCACCGGCGTGTTGTCGTGACACAACCCAGATCTGTGTCACATCAGCTCATCAACAACACAGAAATGCTTTTCCTCTACATACTGAATTCAGCCTAATTGTGACCACATGACAGGCTACAATAAGGCAGGACTTCTGCTCCAGCAGGATTAGCATGCCACTCCCACACGGCTAATTGCTTAAGTGGCGCGACGAAAACACAATGCCTCCTCTGGAGCATCTAAAGCGACTCGAACAGCCTGTAAAAGACGAAGCCGAGCAGATCCAGGTCAGAGAGGCTGCACGGGGACAGAGCCGGAGTGTGTGCTGTGTTTGTGACCTTCACTGTGTTTACAAAGAGATAATAGGAGCAGAGGAGGGACAGACGGAGGAGGCAGCGATAGCAAAGGCATGAATGGACTCATTGTCTGGTGGGTGTGTGCGCCGCATCAGGACGGTGTTCGGTGTGTCTCCAACAAGCTGTGAGCGATCAGTGACATCGGAGAGGTTCATGTAGGACGTGGTCTCCAAACACAGACGTCTGGTTGGACCCTGTGGAGCTCAGTGGGAACACCAGCAACCAGCCACCAGTCATCCACATGACTACGTGCTGCTTCTGCAACTTTCAGTCTGTAACACAGAAAAGCTGCACTTTGTCTGATCATAGTCGAGTTTTTGAGCAGCGACTGGCCAACTGCAGCCGGTGTTAAGGTCCGACCCACAGAAACCCAAAACACTAGATAATCAATACACACATAGCGCTTAGACGTCAGCAACAGAAACGATGGATCATTTCTTTAAATCAACCACCTGGATTTTGCCAAAACATTCAAACTGTAGCATCAGAAACCAGCTTCAGTGGAATGTGATGGATTTCTTTTATCCACTTAAATGCAGATCTACGAGTGCAGGGACAGGGTTCTAGCAGAAGCAGCTCTAGGGAGGAAACAGCACCACGAAGATGCTCATTCTTCATCTGAGGATGCACCAAGCTAGCGGCCAATACGTCAATACGTAACGGAAGAAAAGCCTGGACTCTAAACGAGGCGCTTCAGGCAGGTCGGGAAGCAGGAGAGCAAAACCGTCTGGGGTTTTAAACAGCCTGAAGCAAAGAGGAAAACCCCCAAAGCCCCCCATGTGGGCTCTTCAAAATCCCTGCATCGCCTTAAGTTACTAGAAAAGTCTGAACATCTTTTATATCTGTAAGGAAAAGCAGCCACACTGTACGGACGTGATAGCACGATTACAGGAAACCTAAAGACCCCTCCAGTGAGAAACAAGTGTGTGTCCATATGGTGTTTATCAGGCCGCCATGCAGAGGAGGTTAGCTTCATATGTAGGAGACCAGAGGAACTTCTAGGACGGAGCTTTCCAGACTGTCGTCACTCTTCAGGTTGGGTTTCCAATTTGAACTCTCCGTTGTGCAGCATAGAGTCGTTTTAGAGGTGAGCTGGTGTGCCTGAGCTGCAGCAAACAGGAAAGCTGTGGGTGGATCATTACATCTCATCTATTTATGTATTTATATTAAAAAGGGGATTATTTTCATGTCAGACCTCTAAATGTGTCATGTTGATGCACAGAGGTGAGTTTTTAGGTTGAAGATGAACTTCCGTGTATCGAGGATCAGTGAGTCTCAGATTTCTGCTCTGAAGGTTTCAAACGATTAAAACAAGAGAAACCAACTCCCCCAGTGTGCCCTGAGAGAACATACAGCTAAGTCCCATTCTGCCATTACGTCTTATAGCAAAGAACATTTTCAAAGTGAGTTATTTTACACTTTGGAAAAGTTAATGTGCTTCACAAAGACCAAAACAAATCAGAAACACAAACTGCCAAAGCAATTACCAGCACCGCCAGTAAACAGGAGAAGTGATTAGAACATAAAACACTGCCGATAAAATGCAGACAAGCAAAGCGGCAGCGATAAACGCTCCACCTTAAACCGCTTTTATGGCTTTTCAGGGCTTTTTGTGCTCCACATGGTTTTGTGTTTACCTCCATATGGAATCAGTTTAATTTCTCCCCAAATCTGATTAAGATTACGAACTTCGGAGGCTTCGCTGCCTGAGCTTCACAGCTGCAAATCCTTCTTTAGACAAAACCCTAATTCTGCAGAAAGCCGGCACCCCGGGGCGCTGAGGAAGTACTGCAGGTTTTCGAAGCTCTATCCTTTATATTATCTCTCATAAAACAAAAAGACAGAGCGAGGCAGCGAGGGGACGGATGAGGGCGACGGACACAGATTAGGGACAAACTGACCAAAGTTGGATGGAAATGCGGCGAGACAGCGTCAGCGAGAGCAATTTGTATCGAACGTAAAATGGATCTTTTAGAAAACGAGGAACATGGGACGATTTGAGAGCGAGATAAGAGCCTGAGAGCGTCGCTGTGTGGTATCCAGGGGTGGAGGGTGTGAGGGTCCCTGCCACCCTGCTAGCCGAGTGCATTATGGCTGTTTGGGCACATTAAGGGGCATTAGCTGGAGGAGCGGCCTGAATAATGCATGGCCTTCATTTATGAGCAGAGAGCAAATGTCCTCTGAAGCGCACCAAAGCAGGGACACACACAGGCGCGTTTCCATCCCATCAGAGGACGCGGCGTTGGTTCACTTCCTGCCTCGGCGCTGACCGTCATCACCGAACTGTGCTGTTCAGCTCGTCCTGACCCTGAACCGAGCCGTCCGACTGTTCAGACCGACTGCGGGCTCCACATGCGTTGTACAGACGTACACACACATTGGCGACGCTGTGACGACATTCAGCCAACGAGCCCATTAACGCGTCACACACACTGACAAACTCACGATCAGGAGTTTTAAGTGTCATTTTCACGGTTGCCTCCTCTCTGAGTTCTATCGCGGCATGCTGAATGTTCCTCTGTTACGGGACGGTACCCGACATTACTGTCGCTGGACCGACCGCAGACACGAGAGACGGAGTTACGTGAGACTTAAAGGAGTCTACGGAGGATTGGAGGAAGCTCATCTTTAAATCCACAGTTTCACTCTCTCACGTTTCCAGGGACGTTCAGCAGCTCGTGCAGATTTCTTCATGATGGCCAGCTGCTGCTGCAGTGGACTCACAGAGACTTCATTTACCTGAACTCAGTGATCGGGTCCCATATGTTAGAAAAAGACACTTTTATTGTATTTAGTGGTTCCAAAGTAGAAGCTGTTCAGAGATGAAGACATTTTCTTCTGCCGCCTCCTGCCCTGCTGGCTCACCTGTTTTCATGTGTCCTGCTGTGGAAACCTGAACCCAGACAGCATCTCCTTTCCACGTGTCAGCTTCTCTCCTGCTCTCTGTGCTCACATCAGCTGCATTTGAATGCAGCTGAATTCTGTGTCTGTTGTCAGACGATGAAACGAGTGTGGAACAGGGCGAGGAAACAGAAGATTTAGACGAACAGCAGTCACATCAGAGTCCGTCTCTGAGGCTCGGCACCCCTAAACATGAATAAGTTAAAAACAATAGTCGTGCTGGGAGTTTAGCATCATCTCCACATGAAACTGCTCAGAGACAAAGTTGGAAGTGACACAAAGCCCTGGTCTCACATCTGTGTGGAGTTCTGTGAATCACAGC